TCCATCTTGGATTGTAACTGTGGTTTGATGAGCGATATTGACACTCAGATGTCACAATTAAGTTTGTAACTCAAGTGGTTAGGAAAGCAAAGTTGCTGAGGGTGAGAGAAAACGACATGCTAGATTATTCTGAATCTCTTGCCTAAAGCATCTGTTCACATTTTAAGTATCAACCAGACACACATTAGATGTGGAAAAGTCACAGGGAAGTAACTTGGTTCCAGATCATTCCTAAAGGAAACAAAGAAATAAAAATTGTGCCTAGATAGGTAAAGAAAACAATTGCTATATAAAAATATGTTCTTAGTTACCCATGTCTAACTAAATAAAACTAGCCCTACAGCTGTACAGATCTTTACTGATACCTCAACATGCTAACTGAAAACAAGAAATCCTGGATTAGAAATCAGCAGAGTTCAGAGCAATCCAAAATGAGGATTCTTATTTTCTTTTTTTTTTCCTCTTAATGAAACTTTAAGAGTTGAGAGCTGTGCCAACAAGTTTTGTTTTGTTTTGTTTAAGATTCTTTAAGGTGATGACATCTTAAGGAACATGTTACCTCTGTATCTCCACTCAACATTTCCTTATCCAGCACCTGGCTCAGGTGTTTAGGGGACAGATTAGAGATGCAGTGGGGTTTTGTCTGATTTGGTGGCCTGCTTCCCTTCATGTGACCCAAACACTTCTTGGTTCACTCTGAGATCTACTTTTCGTAGCTCTCACTTTATTTCAATGGCCAAAGTGTATCAGGATATTTAAAAAAATGTCAATTCTCCAACTTGTATATTTGTCAGTGAGGAATAAAGTTGTCAATTGGTGAAGTGCCATGTTATTCCAGGGCTGTTCCTAGAGAGCTAGAGTTGCTGGCTTCTAGACAGTTGGGCCAAAACACAGTGTTTGTACAGCCAAAACACAGTGAAGGACGGGATTCATTTGTTCACGCACGAGGTTGTGTAATTGCACTGATGCTTCAGGCATTTGGCAGATGATAACCAAGGCTTCTGAAAGTCCAGGTTAGCAGATCTGAGAGTAAGCAGTTCTCAAGTACAAACTACAAAACACAAAATCACAGCTTGGAATTTGGTATGGAATCAGGGCTGAGAATCTCCTAGGTAAGGAAAAACTTTGTGTCATTTCCAGTTTGTGGTAGACTGTAAGAAGGCACTTCAAATGTCCTCGAGCTCCTTAACTGAGTTTCTTGTCATGAAGCAAAACTCTCGGTGTCCTAGTCCCTGAGAGATGGTACATGATATAAATGACTATTCCTCATCTTCAGGGATCTGTCTGCCACTATTCAGGAATGTTGCTACTAAAGCGCTAATTAACCGGAAAAAAAAAAAAGGGGGGATCAAAATGGATATCAATAAAATATCTGTTACTCGGATAATTTCACATTACTACTTTATCCCTTAATCTTCCCCAAATTTCTTTTAATTTTCATCAAGGAGATAATAATTTTGACCACTATTGGCATTCAAACTAGGTTGAAATGAACTGGCAAGTACTGGCCTTTTCTTCATGCATTAGATGCACTATCAACAGAGCAGGACCTACTGGTTGAATTTTGTACTAGCGTTTGTATTTTGCTTTGTTTTCATTTCATTGAGTGGTGCCACCTAAAGAGTTGCACTTGATGGTCCTTGTGAGTGCCTTAGAACTCAGAATATTCTGTAATATAAATATTTTCAAAACACTGCCCATTCCTCTACCAAAACTGTAGCTAGACAGAAGGACTTTGTCTAACAACTCTTATGCTAGCCCTGCTAACAGTGGTCCAGAGAAATTATAGAATATCTCAAGTTGGAAGGGATCCATAAGGAGCATCAAGTCCAACTCCTGCTTTTCGCAGGACTATCTAAACCTAAACCATATGACCATCATCCAGACACTCCTTGAACTCTGACAGGCTTGGTGCCATGACTGCTTCCCTGGGGAGCCTGTTCCAGTGACTGACCACCCTCTAGATGAAAAACCTTTCCCTAATGTCCAATCTGAACTTCCACCAATGCAGCTCCGTTCCATTTTCTCATGTCCTATCACTGGTCATCAAAGAGGAGATCAGCACCTCCCCCTCCACTGACCCCTGTGAGGAAGCTTTAGACTGTGATGATATCACACCTCATCCTTCTCTTCTCCAAGCTGAATAAACCAAGTGACCTCAGCCACTGCTTGTGAGTCTTGATCTTGAAGCAGTCTACCAGTGCTCCCACTTCATTGAGGTATCCTAAACTGCCATGGCCATAAAGTTAATGCATCCAGTGCCACTCACCCATTCCATCTGCATGCAAACTCCAGCTCAGTAATAACAATTTGGATGGCTGTTAATAAACTGTACTTGGTTGCAGGAACAGTCACAGAGGAAGGTAATTCTGACAAACTTTTCCTTAGTCCTGTGCTCTGCACTCTCTGAAGATCTAGGATACTCTTTCCTTTTCATGCGACCTCATGTCAAATATGTTTTGGGGCATCAATGCCCTGTGGTTTAATTAGTATGGCTGCTTCTCTTTCTCCCTGGGACTGTGCTGAGGAGTGACCTGACATGGCAGTGTGTCAGATCTGGGAAATTAATTCCCAGCTATTTCTTCCTTCATCAGTCATCAGGCAACTGCTGCCCTCAGACCAGGTAATTATACAGGCAGTTCAGATAGGTCTTGCTACTGAAGGACCATGGAATCCTTGTTCTTATTTCTGACTCTTAATGCTGGATCCACTTCTCCTAAGCACAGCTACCATGAAGTTGGACATCCAACACAACCCAGTCATCACTTTCTGCTTTTGTGGCCAATAGAGAAGAGGGAGAAAATCTGATCTCCCCAGCATGACTCATCCCATCCTAAACGAGAATTTAAAATAAGCATATATTAAGCCAATAATCTCAGAAGTTAATTTATCTTTGGTATTAGTAGCATATAGTTGTTTTTTGGTTTTGTTTTTGGGTATTTTGCCACATAAAGCTAGCTCCCATAAACCTGTCCTAAAGGTGAACCATTCTTTGCTGGGCAAATGTGCATCTTCTTGCTGCTTTCTCCTGGTAAAGGGTTGCTGTAAATACTTACCAAGGAAGGGACAGAGAGGGTAGTCACAATTGGAAGGTGGTTATGAGATCTACAGCTCTGGTGTCTGCTCTTTGCTGCTTGGGTGTCGGGGAGGTGAGAATTGCACAGAGGTATGAGCTAAGGAAATAAGTACGAACTGCTCTAGACTCTCTCATGGCATTATCTAACTTTGTGAGGAAGCTGTGAAATCTATTGCTTTGTTAACTTTTATGCTATATTAAACTTCTATATAAAAACTGTTATGTTTTAATTAATTACACAATTGTGAACAGCTATTTGATAGTAGCGAGAAACTATGAGAATGCAATGGCGTGCTGGTTAAGATGTGTTGGCTCCACGCTCACCCTCATCATGGCAGGAGCATCCTGCTATTTAAACCTTAAAGACCTGAAGTAAAGACATGAAAGCAGAAAAGCCCCACAATTAGGATGACGTGGTGTTTTACTGCATTTTTTATTGGCACAAACACTTCCCAGAATAACAGCATGAATCAGTCATCTGAGCCAATGTTTAGTAGTCATGAGTAAAGCAGTACTGTTAATATTAAAATGAACTAAACTTGTTTGGTTTGAAATTAAGTGGAGGTAGAGAAGAAGAAATTGATGAGGGGAAACAGCAAGCAGTCTTAAGAAACTCTCTCAAAGAAGAACAGGAGCCTTTACAAAACTAGTATGTTGTGGCTTTTTTTGACCTGAACAGCTGCATCAGCATGCCTTTTCAAGTATTCTCTGAGTGTAATTGCGTATATTTCTTAAGAGTGGCAAAGGCAAACAAGGTCTCATGTTCAGCTGTGGGAGGAGGTGGGTTTGCTGCCCTGCTGCCCACCCCATCACAGGGCTGGAGGTGATGCACTCCAGGTCACAGGGCAGTCTCACCTGACCTTGCAGCCCAGCTCCTACATGGGTACCTGCCTGCCCTGGCACCCTTGCAAGAGCAATGTCAGTGTCAGCAGAAGAGAAGAGGGACCTGCTGGGATATAAGTGACTTAACAAACTAGAAACCTGGGTCTATTCCCCCAGCACCCCACTTTCAGATGCAGTACAACAAATGGAGTTTCCACCTTCACGGTTCCCACCAGTGCTCTGCCCAAAATACACTTGCTTGCTTTTTCAGTGGTTTTGTCTCATGACAGTACTGCAGTGCTTCTTTTTCCTCATATCTGTAATCAAATACACACACTTTGCTGTACAAACTGCTAGGCAACCTCTCACTCTTCAGTAAATTTCCAAGGCCCAGGTATTTGACTTAATGAAGTGCTCGTGTTTTGCCCAGTCACCACTGCCTGTGCTGATGCTGCCTCTGAGGGGTCAGGTAGAGATAAAAGTCTCCACTCCCCCCATCACCACCCACCCCTGACACAGCTGTAGAGGTGCTGGACCACTGCCTGCTCGCTGATGCGGAGGCTGCATGAGCCCCTGCAGCCACCACTGTCAGATGGGCACTCTGTCCTCATTTGTACCCTGCTCACAAAAAAAGGCAGCTAATATTAGGTGGTATCTAGGGACAGGGTGGAAGCCTGCAAACAGATATGCTGGAAGTCTTAACTGGATGGTGCAGCCACTCCACAACAGATGGTGGGAGCACTTCAGAGTCTCAGTACATTTAGTATCTTGGTTATATCGGAGTTGGAGCATGTCCTCACAGCCAGGATTGGCAGCTTGGGGCCAGCTCCATCCTGGGAGCTGTGCACTCTTTTGGCATGTGAGAGTTGGAGTGTGGCCGGAGCACAGAGCCTGATGCCTGGCTGGGGGGCAGGCAGACCCAGCCTCCCACTGCTCCCCAAGCCTGGCAGTGATTGTGGCATCTTAAAAATGGCATTTCATCTGCAGCCCTGTTGAGAGAAGAAAAGCCTGCTTGTTCTTCAGCTGCATGAGCTGCTTGTCACCAGCTCCACTGAAGGATGCTGCCGACCTCGGAGAAAAGCAAAAAAGCACTGCACACAAATTCTGTAAAGAAAATGTTTTATTTAAAGTGTTAAATACCATCACCAGAATGAGTTTGATTTACATTAGTTGGTGTTCATGACAGGCCTAATCTGCCCTTTTTTTTTTTCCCCAACTGTAATTCCTTTTAGCTTTTTAAAACGTACTATGTACAAGACAGCAGTGATCACTGGAATAGTGCTATTTACATGACTAAACCATAAGTAGAGTTGCAGACGTGTGAAAATTAAAAAAAATACATTAATTTTTTTAAAATAAATACTGCATAACAACAAGTATGTACAAACCTTCCATGTGTCATCTCCTTGATTTTAAAATTTGAAATAATTTATATAGGACTATGCATACAAGAATGTGTGAGCACATCTCACAGTGTCAGGAAAATGGTTATGTATTTTTGTTTATATCCTAGGGGATATTGTAGACTGTATGTTAGTAGTATTTATTTGCTGCTGGTAGACAGGTGTCTAAATTATTTCAATAAATATAATTTTACCAGTCTGTCTATTAACAATAATCCATTATATAAACTCTGCAGACAAGACACAATCTCGATTTCTATGATATTGCACAAAGTAAAAGGCATTATAAGTGATACTGTTATTACTTTTGCCCTCTTACGAGGCATTTACAGTTTGTTAATGGGAAACTTCAATAGATTTTTCAATAAAATCAGAATACTTGCGTGTGGCCTTAAAGGTAAATGTAATGTATACTTCAAAAATTATTGCAAGGTTTCAATAATAAACCTTAAGTAGGTATTAAAGGCATACAAAGACCCAGAAAAAAAGGATATTTGTTATTAAATGTTAGCCAGTTACATTCCCTTTAAACAACATAATTTAATGAGAAGCTTGAACTTGCAGCACCACCCAATGGTAGTTACTGTATGCTACAAAAACCAGGTTTTTGAAGATGCATTAACTGCAGTGAGGTTCTGGTAATGGTGTCAAATAGCTGTCAGAGTGGTACTGATAAGCTTTCTTTAAGGCTATTTTACAAACCAAAGACTGTTATTTTCCAGACTGATATTACCTAATTATGTCTTTTGCAATGCAAATGTAATTTATGAAAATTGAACTTTACAGCAGAAGAACTGTCTGGATTAGTAACCTGTGTTGCTTTTGTAATCTCAAAAACGTAGCAATCAATTTGGTTTAGTGCAAATAAAAGTGCTTAAATTTATTTCCTAAAAATCAACCAGGTACTTAATTCTTTCTCTTTCCAAAAACCTTCAAGAAATGATAGTTCAGTCCTTGAATGAAAGATGCTGGTGCTGAAAACAAATTTATTGAAGACATCTTACAATGGCCACATGATTCCAGTATTTTGCTGCAGAATTCAATTTGAAGGTGAGAAAAAAATGAAAATAAGTTACCATGCACTGTACAATAAATTGCAAAAAGTTCAAATATCTTCTTTATCAAATACATGCTGAATTACATTAATGTACTCCCAAGCCATGTTGCAAAATCCTTTTCAACATGCTTGAAAAAAAGTAAGTTCTTAATCAATATTTTTCTCAAATAATTCAGAAATGCAGAACAATCTGCAACCCTGAACCAAATATGGGGCATAAGAGAGTAATAAGTCAAAAGGTAGCCATTTTAGAATATTCTGATCATCCTGGGAGGTAGAGGGGAAAAAGAGCAAAAGGAAGAAGGGAGACTGGAAGGAGAGATAGAGAAAGGAGGTGGTAAAAGAAGTGTACAATTTGCACATTATGTTGAACTTTACAAGGCTTGTACCTTTTACATTTAAATAAATTTAATATATTACACTTATTTCTTGTCACATAAACAGAATTTTAAATATTTGCTAGAAATTATTTTTTATTTTTAATATAAGTCTGCAAAAATACAGACCATGATTGGTTTAAAGAATGATAAACGTGGTGTGTCTTTGTATCACCCTGTTGCATTCTCTTTCCTTTAAAACCATGCACTAGTGAAATTTATTTTTAAAAATAATATAAACTGTTGAAAATGGCTGATTTATTCTTTTTTCTTTTTTTGCAAGTTGCAGCCCCAAGAAAATAATTTAAGTGTTCAGCTAAATCTGTGTCCATGCAAAAAAGTTTCTTAATTTCATACAGTACAGTATATCCACAGAATTTTATTTTTCAGAGAGTCCATCATGTCTGGGGTTTCACTGTGTGAATAGCTGGAGGTATGAAGCCCGCCACTTTAAGTCTTGAACCTTTTCAATATGAAGATTTTTCAGATCTCAAGCAACTGCTGCAAGTGCCAGTTGACTTCTCCAGCATCCTTACATTCTTCTTTTCTTCCACTGTCTGCTATTCCACTGACTTGTAACGTGGCTTCGTGGGAGGGTAACTCCATTTCTGTGGCATAACCAAGCTTTAGGAGTAGAGGGCAGATAAATAAAGCAACGGGAGCAACAAAACAGATATGCTATTGAAAAGGACTTTTGTTGCATGAAACAGATTGATTTTTTTAGTTTAGTCCATGGCTTCAGATTGGACCAAAACTGAGTCCCTGAACTCCAAACCTATCAGTTCTTCGTGATTTCAGTCCATCACCTGAGGGCCTTCTGTAGGGCACAATGTGTGCAACTTCCTTGAGAACACAGGATCGCGTTGCAGCCCTAGAAACAGGCTCAGAAGACACAACATTAAGCATGCAGTGTTACCAGGGTTTGCGACCTGTAATTTATTTTTTTGTAACGCTGGTTGCTATGACAACAGTTTCACAGCTGCTATGAGCGAGAATATGAAGGTCCTGTTGAACTTTCAAGAGATGATTGGGAAGCTCTTCTAGTGAGAGGAGCTAAAGTTGGGTCTACTAGGGAAGAAGGAGGAAAAAGTTTGAACCACCCAATCACCATGTTGGACAGGTCCAGTTCATCTAAAAGTATCTGTGCCACTCCCATAAAGGATTTGTGATCCATACGTCCATAGTCTCCCCAAACAATTATCTGTTGGGAAAAGAAACAAGAAAATAGAAAGATTTCAGCAAAAATTATGAAAGCTTCAATCTGTTTTGTCAAATGTCTGCTTATTTAATTACAGTAAGGAATGAAATATTTGACTGTTGACATAGTTCAGTTCTTTGCATACTAATTCATGATGGAGACACAGAAGTGATCTGGGCAGTAACAGAGCAGTTATCCGTGATACCAGAGAAAACTGAGTGAGAGGAGCCCATATACACAGTAGAAGCAAAATAATCTGCAGCTAACTTTTGCTCAGTACTTTCTACTTGCAAAAGCAGTTATTACTGTTGTATTTATCTGCTCAACAGGTATTTTAAATATCAGAATTTATTGCCAAATGAAGCATGAAAGGAAGTTTGAAACTCATTCAGTGAAAACTGTACAGGTGACATTTTCAGGTTCAGATGAACGTTGATGCAAATTACCTGTAAAACTTTCCCTTGGGGACTTTCTTCAAAAGATAGAAGTTGCTGATAAAGTGGTTCCAGAGTTTTTCTTGCTACCTTTGTCTTCTTTTTGGCTATGCAGACTCCATTTTCTAATAGATACACCTTTACATATGGTGCTTTTAAGAAAGAACATAAAGAACTGTAAGTAAAGAAGAAGTCCAGATTTTTTGCATAACAGATGCACTTTCTATTACTATATAAAAATCTGCCTTTTAATGGATATATAACTTATATGAACAAATCTCCACGAGCAATATTAATAATTATTCCCATGCGAAGCATCTATGCATTTTCTTTACTCTTCTCCCTGGTATATTTTTTTCTTGACTTCTTTTTATATGTCTCTTTTGCCATGAAACAATTCAGATTTTGACCTGAAAAAATCAGGTATTCCTATATATAGTGTCCCTTTACCGTACAAAATGCAAAATAGGCCTATTAAGTAAATGAATGACTTGCAATGACTTTGGTGAGATTTGAATCAATGCTCCAAATTGTTAATAATTTAAAATTATCTACAAGGTGAAAATCAGTGAAGAAAAGACTCTGACACAATTTCTATTTTGGCAGAAGAGCTTGCTAAAAATAACATTATATTGTCCTTTTCATATAGTGTTATAGGACGCTAGATTATAAAATAAGTATCAAATACTGGTCTACTTTTTGAGTAGGTACCTATTCCATGTCTCTTGATTCCCTCTTCATTCCTAAGATTCCTACACAAAATCTTCAGTATATACCTTTCTTTCTACCTGATAATAAAGGATGCATTTGCTATTGCTGAAATATTTTTGTGTCTTCTGGTAGCCTGATTTTTAATTTCCTCCTGAAGTAGGGTTGATTTTTTTATATCATTTCAATATGTTATGCGTTTCAGTGTACAACATTGTGATTTACTGAGAGGTAAATTTGATAAGAGTTTACCATCCTGAACAGAAAAAACATGGATTTTTTTGGTAGAACTCTATTCTTAGAATCATAGAATGTACTGAGCTGGAAGGGACCCATCAAGATCAACAAGTCCAACTCCTGGCACTGCACTAAGATCGTTGCTAAGATTTTTCTTCCTCACCTGGCAGTGTCTTTGAACCTGGTTTTACAACAAGGCCACGGGCTCGGATTATTTCTACTTCCAGTTGTCCTTTCTTGTCCATCATTCCCACCTGAATATCTCCTAGGTAACAGAAAGAAATCCTGGCATTGTAATTCAGAAATACTTAAATATATGAAATGTCATGAGAATTTCTAGGATGAATATGTAGTGACTTGTATCATCTGCTTTCCTTCAGGAAGTATGATCTGGATTTTAACACTAATAGATAATTTAATACTTACCCTCTTCACTGCTGTTTATGTTAGTAAACTATTTAAAAACCCTGCAATAAGATCTTGACTCCCACTTCCCATGCCCCTATTACTTCAAATTAATTTCCCTTTCTTGTCTTAAGAATTTCATATTCAAAAAAGGCATCAAGGGAATTAGTACAAAGCGGCTCTGTAAAGATGCTTGAAATCTCTTCACCATGCCTTTAGTTTAAGATACATATGAAAAGATAACCTGTGAATATTAAAAAAGTCTGTAAGCACAATAATAACAAATACTTTGCACCTAAATTACCATTTTTATACGACATTATCAAAGAGATTCAGAGAAAAGACTGGTCTTATTAGTCCCATTTTAAGGATGGTAAACTGACGAAGAAGACATAAAAGACTGATTTTTTCAAAGCACCTTACTACTTTAGAATGTCTTTTTAAGCATCCATGATTACTTTGGCTGCAGTCATAGCTTTGGTCTTAACTGAGTTGTTCAAAACCACATGGGAAATCCATATTTAAAGGGAATCTAGATAAATTCTATGTTCTGATTACCAGACCAAATCGAATATATCATATCTATAGGACATAAACTCTTACCCATTGATGGTGTTGCCAAAGTCTGTCGTCCTACAAGCTGGGCGGGACCAAGTCCATCCAGAAAATCACTGAACTGGCTATCTGCAGCCAACCTCACACCAGGGAAAATCAAACTAGAAATAAAATTTAAAAAAAAAAAAAACAACAAACATTTGAAATTTTGTTTGTTTGTTTTTTGTTTCTTGGTTTCTAAATGTTTTGCACTTAGTGTTCCTGCTCACAAGGAACTTGCAAAACAATTACTGTAATTTTCAAAATTTCAGTGTTCAACAAACAGCAATTCAACCTCCAGCATATAAACAAACAAGTAACAAAAGCACTGATCCTCAATACTTTTGCCATTAGTATTTTTCCATCATGCTCTCTTTTTCCAATATATTAAAGACCTCTGTTAATTATTGTAGTATTCATATGAGACCAGTTCAGTAATATATTAATGCACATCCTTACCACTTATTTAGTTACATGAAGGTAAAATTGCTCACGCTTCTCAGTCACTGTGAACTCAATGGCTGAATATCAAGTGCACACGGTGAAACGATGACATTAGACTGAATACTGATTGCTATTTTTAAAATCACCTTTTAAAATCAGCATTCATTCTATACATTTTGTTAAAAACGTCCTTGAAAATGCCATCTATTCAAAAATGGAACTGGAATCCATTGTGGCAAATGACCAAAGTAACTTAAAATTCAAATTCTTGCCATAAATTATCTGTGACCCATTACAAAGCAACAAGAACTAATGAGATTTGTAATGACCAACCATAAAAAAACGTCCATCTCAAGTGCATATAGTGCATCAACCTGGACATGTAAGATATATTGTGCAGCACAGATATACCACCAGTGCTGTGAATACCACTAATAAATCAACCCACAATAAGACTTTTCTGGGCAATGTCTTGGGTATACCACTCATAAGTTTTTAACTTGGGCTCTTATGAAAAGCATGATATGTGACAGACTCATACTTCTGCCCAGATAATTTCTTTAGGATTAAAGTAGCAGAATCTTTGAAAAACTTTAGAGCCCAGTGAATGACACCAAGAAACGTTCTGGAAATGCTTTGCTCTGCAAAACACTGACATATGCAAGGAGGTTTTGGAAGAGAATTTGTCCTTATCTGTGTTTTAGCTGGCACTCTGCACCTGTTTCCCCCTCCTGATATACCTCATGTTGATGTTCTGACCTTCCAGAAGCCTTTCTAATGGCACAACAGAAATGAGCCTCATCCTTACTGCACCAACAATGGGAGACTCTTTCTGTCATAGCGGAAGACTTAGGCTTGGTCCATCAATGACACTAGCTTGTGTCATTGGGAAGGGAATTCTGACTGCACAGGATCTACAGCGTTCACTGCGCTTCTCTCTAACTACCAGTTTCGTGCAAAAACGTCAGGAAACCAGAGTTATAACTGCCACTTACTTTCCCTCAGAACTGTAGCTGTTCATGCTCCCATCCGTCGATTCCCGGCTAGCCTGACGAGTCATCCAGTTCCTCATCTCCACAGCCAGCCCTGTCTCAGTGCTCCTCTGGACGGTGCTCCGCAGCTTCTTGCCCCCTGCTTCTGTGGAAACAAAAGAGAAGCCCCCATCACACTGTGCTGTCCCAGCTGGGCAGCCCTGCTGGTAGCACACCACCACTCCATGTGGCAAGAACACTCAGAGACAGAAATTAACGACCTGTATCAAAACTTCCATTTAAAAATTAACAAGTTTTTAATAATAGTCGAGCAGCATCGTAAATCTCTTTTACAGGACCTTAGCTCTGTCACTGCCTGCTTTTCAAGGTCAGACAGCATGTACACAAAGCAAGTCTGCTCATGGAGGTAACCAGATTTAAACAATCCATAGTCTAGCATGTTTAAAATATATTTTCTTTGGGTGAATAAATCCCTCTTAGGAATTCAATTAAAATGTTACCATGATGTCAAAACCTGCAGATGAATTATTTTAAAACATTTGGTCATTATCTGCTAAATCAAGTTACAGATATCCATTAGTGAGGATCATAAACCACAAATCAAGAACCCTTCCCATGCTTTCTTCTCTATTCACTAGCTACCTTAAATTTATATTTAAAATAAGCAGTATTGGTTTTTATGCACAATATGAAACTTTATCACCACCTCCAAGAATAACGATTTTTCTATCTGCTCGCATAGTTTAATTTTAGTTGTAAAAACAGCAACATAACAGACATCTGAGTATCAGACACAGGAAAAAATACTCAAACAATATAATAGTATTTTAGTAACATTTAGGAATTTTGATCAAAACATCAGCTGGAAGATATACTGAACACAACACACACATAAAAAAAAAAAATTAGTAGGAATGAAGCTTCAGTTTTTCTTTCATTAATAAGACAGTCACTCCATGTCATTTCTGATTTTAAATGCTGTTCCCTGCAATGGAGCGAGTAATTTTGCATACCAATTTCTTTTATCTGTTCTATACACCTCTGACTTCAGCACAGTGATGTGTGATATACAGATAATATTATAAAAGAGCAAGAACTCTAAATGAAAGCTACACCAGTTGTTTGTAGCATCTGCTACCCTCTATACCTTTGCTGGCTCATCATGTACCAGAGATCAGAAGAATTTCTGGACCCGTGTGGTTGGTGAATCTCTAGGGATTTGAAAATGGAAATGAGCAAAGGGAGGAGATTGTCCTGGGACCAGGACTCTCACACTCCATGGAGAATATGTGAGCACAGGGACTGACTTAGAGTAAGAGGACCTGTACCCTCAGGGAATGGAATAGAGATATCAGTTCCAACACATGCATTCCGTGTCACTGTCCTACAGGCTGCAGCATGGGATGAAGTCTCCCAGGCCCCTCAAGTCAGGAGGAATATTAGGTCAGATAAAGAACATGGGAAATGAAATGAAGTGGGAACTAGACACCAAAAATACCTTGAAAACCACCAGCTCCTTGTCAAGAAAGATTAATAACACTGCAATATTTAACAGCAGTGAGACATTTCTACAGCAGTATCATGAGTGGTTCAAATCATGTTGGTTATTACAAGCCTTCTACATATTCCTTAAGACCATAACTTTTAGTCAGTATGTAAATATAACAGTAGTAATTCTCCTCTAGAACTTCAGCTGCCCACGTGAATGCAGTACCCAATAGAATGAAAAGAAATTTGCTACTAATCAAAACTACTTCTCAAAATGCCCATCAATGCCTGATGTAAAAAATACAAATAAAAAAGATACCAGGCTAACGTGACATATGAAAAATGAAGGGCAGAAATCAACAATTTCATTTCTATTGGGTTGTACTGTTCCAAGCACCTGCTGTTTTATTATTTATATTCAACTGATGAAAGCTGGCAGCTGACTTCCAACATTGGCCCAGAGTTGTTCTAAAATACAAGCACTCATTTCAAAGAAATATTCTCACAAAACTGCCAGAAAAATATTGTGCTATAGTTTTGTAGAAAAGGTACACTGTATCATAGCTACACAGGAAAGGCACACAACTCCTGAAGCCCCATGCTTGTTATTGTATTGTTACAGGATATTACTCTCCCTTTCCAAGAGCTCTTTTGATCTGTAAATATTCATTTTTATGCAAATTTAACAGAATATCTACACCTTTCATGATTCTTTAATATCTTCATATAATATCTTTCAAAGATTTTGGGGCTTGGGTGCTATATATGTTTGATTATGTGACACATGAAGGAGTATATAGTAACTTTTATTAATTTGTAAGGCAGATTTTTTTGTTCTGAATTAGAATTATAAGTCTGTATGCCTTTACTCTAGAAGAAAATTCATAGAATAAAAAATCAACATGTTCATTGCACATCAATTTACTGAGAAATCAAGGCAGAACCAGTGCAACTGCCATTCCAGTCTTCATGGAGGCACATGTGTAGCTGCTCACAGCATCCCTCTAAAACTTATTTTTAAGTAGTTTTACTTTCCCACATTGATTTTAATTGAAGTAAGTGCTCTGGTTCACATGACAACAGGCACACAGCTGATAAGATACAACTCTTTTACAGCATGAAGTTAGGCACGTGTAATATATCCAACTTTTGTATAAGTGTGAGTGGTAAACAATAGTCATTTTGACCTTAATACTGAATTTAAGGAGGGCCAAAAGGAATAACTATAAGAACGTGAATAACTATTTCCCAGCTTTCAACAGAAACAGTCAGTGCTCTCTGATGGTCTCCAAAGATCTAACCTTTGATCAATAAGGCTCCTAATCATGATTTTGATGCTTCTTGAAATAAGAATTGAAGATTTCAACAGCAAAATGGCAACTTGGAAGAGATATATAGAAGACTCAGATCACAGGCATGACTCCTGAGCCATGCCTGAGAGATGAATATTCTTTCAGATGAACCTTGGCTAAACTAATATGTAATAATATACATGAGGAACACTCCCACTTGATTGCCCACAATACTAGCAATACATTTATACCTGGAAAAATGTTAATAAATAAAAAATAATCTTACAATTCCTCAAACAATTTAAAATCAAAGACAGTATTTGTATCATCCATAATTTGTTTCATAAATTCAGCATTCAAATACTTAAAATGTTGCGAGTAGCAATGAAAATGTAAAGTATTTACTCAACTCAAAGAAATAGCCTTTAGTGCCATACTTCCAGGCTGTACCTGGTAGAACATCTAGTTGAAGATCTTATCACTCCAGTAAATCCAAACTGGTTTCCCTCATTCCTGCCTGGAAGTTGAAACCTCTCTTGTGTTTACTCAACTACTCGTGTGGTTGCATTCTGTACTGGACTCAGACCAAAAGGAACAAACCAACCGCATGAATTAAAGTTTTTCTTTTTCTTTTAAGACAGATAATTTTAAAAAATAATTGTGAAAACAAGTACACAGTTGAATGAACCCAACTGAAGTAATGCTAATCTCTAGCTAGATGAATAATTTGGGAATGCATCTGACACAAACACAGAAATAAACATGTAACTGATGTCACTGTAAAAGTGGGGGTTTTATAATCCTAAAGTATATATACATATACACTCATGTTATGCATGCTGTTTTAATCTTACCAAATAAAAGGACACGGAAACAAGAGGGTTTAGAAGTGTACTTTTTTGTTAAATATGTTGCTGACCACCTACACTGAAAATCATTTTGCTCACAATTTCCTAAACTCTAATAAAGAACATTGAAAATGTTCTCCAAATTAGTATAAGCTAATTGCCCTAGCAAGATGAAATTTCTCTCAAGTCCCCATCACAAAATATGGAATACATTATCCTCAAAACACTAGTTCAGATTCTTGCAGCCATATTGTAAGGAGTGGAATAAATTACCAGAAATAATTGCTTTGGTATTTATGAAAGCACATTCATTCTTCTGGTTAATCACACTGGTAATTTAACTAATATGGTTACTGCAAATAGACTCCGCAGGCCACATTTTCTAAATTACATGCAGAATTATTTGTTCCCACAACTTGGAGTGCAAATCACTTGCAAATTAGGGATGCAAAACTACTGATATGATCTTCAATAGCAGATGAGGACAAGTCAAAAAATGCAGTGAATGCAACACATCATCTTCCATCATCTGGGATCTAGCCAGATGAAATCTGCCTCTCGTAGGGAGAGTGGGAGCTCTCAGCTTGCTCTCAGCAAGAACTTCCTACAACTGCTCCCCAGCAGGCACAGAGCCCTGAGAGACAATGTGGCTGGCACAGGCAGAGGCAGGCGGGCTATGCCAGTCCCCAGGTTGTAGGCGATCTCTTGGTAGGACTTGTAATGAGTACAGAGCACAGAGCAGCTGTGGCTTCAGAAACACACTCAAGTGCTTGAGGTGGCTCATATCTGCTCCCCCCACCTCAACAAAAAGGCTGCATAAAAACTGCTTCAGTATCTTCATTTGAATTCAGGAGTTAGATCCACAAAAAGAACAAGCTGCCTTAAAGTGAACATTTTTCAAGAGTCAAACTCTTTACATATCTTGTTATCTGCTCTGGGCATATTAACACCAGGCTAGACAAAATCATCAGAGACGGTCTACCAACAACTGAACCTACTAAAGAAAAGGTGGACCGAGTAGGTCTAAATTCCCTTGCAGCTCCTCATTCTGTGTCTGAAACAACCCATGTTTTGGCTGCATTGAACAAGGCATTTAGCTTCTTTTGAAATACTGGGAACCACAACCACGTTGTTTCTTTCTTTGTGTCACCCACAGACCGCAAGCAGAAGACATGGATTAGGATCTACTAATTTAAGCGGGATTTGGGAAACCCAGATTCCATTGTCATTTGAATTTGAGCACACCTCATTGACCTCAGAGGCCAATGCTAACAACCAGCTTATGAAGTGTTGTGCTACAGTCCCTCCAACGAAGGTTTTCACAGTGCACGCTGTCAGCATTTATGAAGCCCAAAGAGCATTTGTAGGGACAGAAAGAAACTGTAACCAGGGGCTTTCCCTTACTTGTAAGGAAGAAGGGAAGACCTGTGTTCTAGTTCCTGCTTCCATGAATACCTGAACGTAAAATACTGAAAAATTGTGACTAGGATGGAAATGGCCTGCCTGGATAGGCCCAA